AAACAGCTACTGGGCAGGAAAGGCGGTGGCCGCACCTCTCTGCACCTCAGTCCCATTCAAGGAGGTGGGGTGAAGGCCAAGGGGGTCCTCAGAATAGGTGTTCAGCCAGTTTCAGAAGTGTCCCTGTCCCCAAGGCCCCCCCAGCTTGCCCTCATTTTTCCATTCACTGGTCATCCACTTGCTGCTGACCCCTGAACGACCTTCATGAAATAGGTATACACGTTCCTAGGGGCAGGCACCAGAAGATCCTGCAGCTGGCCCAACCCTGCCAGCTCATGTGCTATTCATTCATCCATTCACTCATTCATTCAATAGTTACTGGTCCTAGGGCCGCTAAGATAGATAGCTCAGCAGACTAAGCATCTGCTAGGCAAGCTCAGGGACCGGGATTCAACCCCCCTATGTACCGGCCCCACTCTCCAGGCATGCTGAGCTGATCACTGAGACAGGCATGGTGGGGCACACCTGCAACCCCAGTGCTGGAGAAGCTGAAAATGGGAGGATCACTATGAGTCCAAGCTGCATAGTGAGACCCTGTACCAAATACTTTTTTTTTCGGATCTGGGGATTGAACTCAGGCTCTTGTGCTTGCCAGGCAAGCTCTTATTCTAGTGAGCTATCTCCCCGGCCCCCTGCACCAAGTACATTTTTAAAAAAGTTATTGACTGAGTACCCTCAATGTGGCAGGTACTGTTTTAAATCTTGGGTACAGGCATCATTGTCTTCCTGGGACTGACACTGCAAGAGGAGCAAAAGGCAATAATCAATAAATATATTACGCTAATGAAGTGTTCTATCAGAAGGCATTAAGTGTTATGCAAAAAAGAAGTAGAGCAGAGTGTCAATCTGTACAGGGTTTTGTTTTGCTTCACTTTTTAAAAAATCTTATTTATTTATTTGGTACAGGATCTCACCATGCAGCTCAGACTTGTAGTACTCCTCCTGTCTCAGCCTCCCCAGCACTGTGATTACAGGCGGGCAACACCATGCCAGGTTTTAGTGGCCAGCATGGTGTGCTCAGGTTCTAGGGCCGGCACAGCATGCACATGCAGTAGTGAGGACCAAACACAGGTCCTTGCACAAGCTAGGCAGGCACTTAGACTATTGAGCTATCTTCCCAGCCCCTTTGTGTTTTGTTTTGTTTTGTTTTGTTTTGTTTTGAGACAAGATCTCACTATGCAGTTTAGGCTGATCTTGAGCTCACTTTGTTGCCCAGGCTGGCCTCAAACTTACAGAGATCCTCCTGCCTCAGCCTCCTAAGTGCTGGGATCACAGGGGTGTACCACAACACCTGGATCCCCTACAGTTTTGGGGGTCTCCTGGTGGGCCCCAGCATCCCAACTCTGTGGTCTCTCTTGGCTCTTAAGTGCTGCCAGATGGATTGGAGGTGGCTGTCTAGAGTGGTGGTTTTCAAAATACAAACCCTAGATCACCTGGCAACTTATGAGAAATTCAGGTTCGTAGGCCTGGAGCTTGAGGCACAGGACCCAGGGCTGGGGCCAGCTTCTCTGTGCTTCTGAATGCTAAGGCCAGAGAGGCGCTGGCTTGGGAGAGGGGGTGGGGCAAGGAGGCATCACCCGCCACAAAGGCCTGGGAATTCGGGAGTACAGGTGTGTGTGTGTGTGTGTGCGCGCGCGCGTTTGCGTGTGCGTGTGTGCGTATCAGCCTGCTACAATAAAGTACCGTAAGCTGAGTGGCTTAGCAACATCAGAAATTTATTTCTCACAGTTCTGGAGTTCTGGAATTCCAAGATCAAAGCATGAACAAATTCAGTGTCTAGTAAGAGCCGGATTTCTAGTTCATAGTATTTCTTCATCATTTCCTCATTTGACAGAAGAGACATACGGTCCCTCTCCAGTCTCTGTACAGGGACCTGGGAATCTAACCACCTCCCAGGGTCCTACCTCAAATACCATCGCTGTGCAGGGAAGGATTTCAACACAAGAATTGGGGAGGATGAACATTCAGTCTATAAAGCAGAGCAACTGAGATCTATTTGAGCTTCTAGGATAGTGCTGGATGGGCAGACTGGTGTCAGCAGGCATATCCAGGAGGGAGACAGCGCTGGGAGCTGAGCCCAGAGACCGGTGGACAGAGAGCACAGCTGCCTGGCTTCCCAGGTGTGGAGTGCTGGGCCGGGCTGCCCAGCATGGGGCTCTGCGAGTGAGGCCGCAGGGCAGGCACTGATTGTACTAAGATAGAATCTTAACCAAGGAGTGACAAGCCTATTCTGTCTTTTTTTTTTTTGTTTGTTTGTTTTTTGAAACTGGATGTCATACTGTGTACTTCAGGCTGGCCTCAAACTCCTACTGATCCACTTGCCTCAAGCCTCCTGAGTGCTAGGATTACAGGTGTGCGTACGCCCCCACACCCAGCAGCATGTTCTTAATCTTTTCTTCATTATTTTGTTTTGGCTTTTGCAGTTCTGGGAATTGAACCCAGGATCCTCTTGCATGTTGGCAATCAATTGGCAGTCATTCTAGCATTGAATTACAGCCCTTTTTTATTTTAAGTGGGGTCTTGGTAAGTCTCCTGTTGGGTTCAGATTTGTGATTCTCATGCCTCAGCCTCCCCCGTAGCTGGGATTACAAGCACCTATGTGCACCATCACATCTGACTTTTTAAAATGCAATTGCTTTTATGAGCCAAGAGGGCTCTGGCTTGGGAATTCACTTGTGGGAGTCTGTCTTTCAGAAATTCCCTACAGAAGCTGGGCATGGTGGTGCCCACCTGTAATTCCAGCACTCAGGAGGCTGAGACAGGAGGTTTGCTGTGAGTTTGAGGCCAGCCTAGGCTATAAAATGAGCTCAAGGCCAGCCTGAACTACATAGCAAGACCCTGTATCAGAAAGACAAAACAAGAAAGAAAGAAAGAAAGAAAGAAAGAAAGAAAGAAAGAAAGAAGCAAGCAAACCCTTGTAAAGAAGAAAAGCATCTGCACAGGCACCTCCTGTGCCCTGGTGCAGGGGGTCTGGCCTGCACCCACAGGTTCTTCAATCCCAGCAGCCCTCGGAACATTCCAGCAAGAAGTCAGAGCCTGGAGAGGATAGGGTGAGCACATTGTCCTGCTTCTCCCCGTGGGGCGGCCTCTAAAGGGCCGTGTTCAGGTGTCATTGCTGTCTAGGCCAGGCCTGTTCTGGACAGCTCTGCTTTCCGTGGCTGGAGACCTTCTATCTGCCTCCCACCAGCCTCTCAAGTGCAGGTCCAGGTCCCTGGCTCCCCACCCCATGACCCAGCACCTTCCCTCAGTAACACTCTTGGAATTTCCTGGTGTTGCGGAAGCCATCTGTTTCCCACGGATCTGACAGATGTGACACCTCATGCAAAATGGGGTTAACAGAGTCACCTGACTGGCAGACAGAGCAGGGAGGGACTGGCACAGCTGCTGTTGGGAGTGAGATGTGGGGACTGAATGGGGACAGGGTGGGAGGCCTAGGCCAGAGCCTGGAAGCTCAAGTGTGCAGGGATGACGTCCTACGAACAGAAAGCTACCTGTGGGCAGGGCATGGCCCTTTCTGCCCTCCCACTTGGCACTGGGGTACAGGAAAGGGCAGGACCAATGGACAGATGACAAACTGGTGGATGGATGGATGCATGGGTGGATGGATGAACAGATGGAGGCAGATAGGCAGAAGGATAGATGGGCAGATAGATGGACAGATGCATGGATGGATGGAGCATCCAGCCCAGCCCAGGACCCTCTCTCCCCAGCTGGGGCCCCAGATCAATCCAGAGAGGAAGGGACCGATATTTGCTCCTCTGAGGCCTGGCTGCAGCTGAGCCCAGTTCTTGCAAGTCTCAGGTCAGCGGCCCTGGGAGAGGGGAAAAGCTTCCCTTGGCAGGGCAGGAATGCACCCCCCCACCCCGCCTGGGTCCCAGGTGCAAGGCTCCAGCCCATGGAGGGGGGGGCTTCCCAGGCTGCTGGAGGCCAAGAGGGAGGCCCTGTGGCTGGGGGTGAGGTTGAGAGGGGGCCCAGGGGTGGGCCTGGCCATCTGCTAGGGCGCAGTGGGGCCGAGGGCAGTGGGCCCTGACATGGGCTTTCCCCAACACAGGTGGGTACGCCCCTCCTTGCCTGGCCCTAGGCAAGAGCTGAGCTCACCTGAGTCGCCCCTTCTCTGCTCCAGTCCCAAATATTCGACTCCCATAGTTTTGAGAAAGGAAAGGTTTAGCTTGGCTCCGGTTTCTGTCCAGTCCAGAGGGGTTGGCTGCTAGCAGAACAGAAAGGCCAGGTGGGAGCGAAGGGTGGAGCAGCAGGAGGGGACCCTCTCTGTCTGTGCCAGGCCTGGAAAGGTGAGCCTACTGAGACTGGGGAGAGGGGCACACCTCCAGCGAAACCCTAATGCCCACATTCAAACCACACTCCACGTGGAATCCTCCTCCCGTTTCCATCCTCTCCACTCCACTGGCAGAGAACGGCCAGCCCCCCCCCCCACTGGCCGCTGGACACCGAAACACACGTCACATCTCGTTCATCCCCTGAAAGAGTAACGTCCCAGAGCGCATGAGAGCCACGCCAGTCCTGGGCAGAAACCCAGCCCTGACCACGCTCCCTTGCCCGGCCTGCCCCTTACACTGAACCCAGCCAAGGCGGTCCCTGCCGATCCCTCTTCCCTGCCTTCCCTGATTCTTGGTGTCCCTTCCTGGAGTCTCTCAGAGCTGCCACCTTGGAATTCAGGTCACAGCTTCAATGCCACTGTCTCCTTTGTCACGTTTTCAGGCTTTCTCACATGAAGTACACTTGTCTGAACTTACATTCGTCTTTATCACCTCCTCCCCGAAGCAGAATGCAAGCTCTGTGAGGACAGACAACTCATCTGTCTTGTGCCAGCTTGTGTCACCAGGCCTGGCACACAAGAGACACCCACTGCCTGCCACGGGAGACACAGTGGGCAGTTCTTAGGTGTCTGTGGCTCAGCAGCCTGGAAGATGGCTGTGAGCTGAGTCTCCAGAGCGGCCTGGGGCAATCTTGCAGGAACATTTGATTTGTAACCAGCACAGGGACAAGGCTGAGTGTCTACTGGCACAGGGCAGAGGATAAAGAGACTGCCGGGGAGGGAAGGGGCAGGGTTCGGGTGGCTGGGAGACAGGTCTAGCAGCAGGCTACTGGTGCAGTGGGAGGGCAACTTGAAAGGACAGGTTGTGGCCACGCTAGGAAAGGTCTTGTTTTGAATCGTGCCGCACCTCTAATTTGTATACTGAGTCCTAAACCCAGTACATCCAGGTGTGTCTGCATCCGCAGACACAGCCCTTAGACAGGACATCATGGGTAAAGGAGGGCCTATACTGGGCCCCAGCTGCATGTGACTGATGTCCTATAGAAAAAAAGAGATCACTGTGAGAGGCCGAGGCGGTAGGGTCAAAAGTTCAAGCTCAGCCTGGGCAAATCGATGGTTTAGCAAGACCTTGTCTCAAAGCTGACAGGGGCAGCATGGCCAGCTGAGCAGAGATCTATCCTAGGAACAGTCCTGCCCACAGGTCTAGCAGGGCTGTGGCCTTCCAGGCCCGGGAAGGGTGAGCAAAGCGCCTCGGCCTGTAGGTTTTGTTCTGGTGGTCTGGTAGACTCACACAGTAATTTAATTTTTTGTATTTTATTTCAATACAGTAATATATTCACCTGACTAAAAGCCAGCTGAGTGTGATGGTACACACCTGAAAGGCCAGCATTCAGGAGACTGAAGCAGGATTGCTGAGAGTTTTGCTGGGTAGCCAGTTCCAACCTAGCAAGGTCCTGTGTCAACAACAAAAACAAAAACACCCATAAAGTGTAATGATGGCCATGTGATAAAGGTCAACATCCACATGAAACTCTGGGAGACCGCATGTGGCCTGGCTGTGCTGTGCCCACGTCAGTAGTCGCCTGTCAGGAGGTAGCAGCCTGTAAGCCTCAGTGGAGGGAGATTCTGCCCAGAACTTGGCAGTACTTCTCAACACTGTCCAAGGCACAGGAGACGAAGTGGCTTGAGAAACTTCCTGGCCCATGGGAGGTGAAGGAGTGGCAGCAAGTGAAGGCGCACCCTGGAAAGGCTGGCAGCGAGCAGACCTGGGCTGCTGGCAGCATGGGCTGTCGGAACAGCCCTATTCTGAGGCCGGTCATCAGTTCTGACAGGTGTGCCATGGTAACGTAAGAAGTTAATAATGAAGGAGAAGCAGGTGGGGATCTACACAGAGGGCCCCCAATTTACCGTGTCCTGGTCAGATTTTTTGACTTTACAAGGGTATGAAAGTGATATTCATTCTACAGAAAGCATACTTCAATTTTTGTATTTTGATCTTTCCCTGGACTTTTTTTTTTTTTTTTTTTTTTTTTTTTTTAACAGTGTCTCAATATGCAGGCCAGGGGCTGGTGAGATGGCTCAGTGGTCTAAAGCACCTACTTAGAACAAGCTTAGCAAAGCACAGGGACCACGGTTCAATCCCCCAGCACCACATGCCAGCCAGCCCAGCCCCCTGGTGGGCTGAGCTGGCCACACACACACACACACACACACACACACACACACACACACATAAATAAATAAAATTTAAAAAAAAATAAAAAAAATATGCAGGCCAGGCTGGTATTAAACTATGTAGATCAGGCTGACCTTGAACTTGCAGGGATCCTCCTCCTTCAGCCTCTCAAGTGCTGGGATGACAGGAATATATCTTGACTTCTTTTCTTCCCATTTTTCTCCCCTCCCTTCAACCTCTTAGCCCCTCCTTTACAAAAGCTTTGTTTCCATTTTTCTTTATATTCTTTTTTTCCCTTTTCTTTCCTTCCTTTTCCCCTGCTCCTCCCTATTTCCTCATTTGAAAGCTTTATTTATTTTGCAGAACCAGGGATTGAACTGAGGCCCTTGAGCTTGCCAGGCAAGCAGTTATTCTACTGAGCCATCTCCCAGCCCTGAAAGCTTAATTTTTGGAAAAAGTGTCTTACTGAATTGTCTAGGTTGATTTAAGTTTGTGCTTCTCCTGCCTCAGCTTCCTGGAGTGCTTGGATTACAGGCATAAGCCATCATGCCTGGCTAATCATTACTTTATTAGGGTTCTGTGGCCTGTTCCAGAACTTCATTATGCCAGCGTGAACATATACTGATTTTGCCCTGAGGCCTTTTTATTTGCTTTAAAGAGTAATCATTTTTAATATACAATATTTCAAACACACAAAATACAGAAGAAAGTACTTGCAACCCTAAGTACCTATAACCTAGATTCAACAATGGAAAACTGGACACTTAGAACTCAGTCTTCTTGATTGCAGTGTTCTCTTTGTTGAATTGTTTTTTTTTTTAATTTTTTTAACATTTATTTATTGTGTGTGTGTGTGTGTGTGTGTGTGTGTGTGTGTGGCCAGCTCAGCCCACCAGGGGGCGCGGCTGGCTGGCATGTGGTGCTGGAGGATCGAACCGAGGTCCCTGTGCTTTGCCAAGCTTGTTCCAAGTAGGTGCTTTAGACCACTGAACCATCTCTCCAGCCCCTCTTTGTTGAATTGTTGTAAGCCAATTCTAGACTTCTCATGTAGGTCTGGACAACATGGACATCTTCCTAACCCTAATGCCCATGTCCTGCCATTCTTAGAAATTCCTAATGACCTCATGGGAATACTGATCTGAGTGGTTTGGAGACACTGGGGGTTTTAGCAGGTACACGCGTGTGCACGTCTGAGCTTATGTGTGTGAATTCTGCCTGTGCTCTAGGAGGACTAAGCACAGACATGCGGAGGCCACATTTGGAGAGGAGGTGAGAGCAGAGAGGCCAATGTGAACATCCTTGGTGGAGCTGGGAAGGGATGGGCCCAGGGTAGCAGGAGGGATGGAGAGGAGGCCGAGGACCAGCTGGGAAGAAGCTGTGGCTATCCTGGCTCCAGCACACACCTGCCTGGAGGATATGGCAGCCTGGATATGAATGAGGCCATGCAGCTGCAGGACCTACAGGCAACAGTGGGGTCCTTTAGCTAAGACTTCCCTCCTCAGGAGAGTGGGCCTATCTGGGCCCCTTTCCAGGTTGCCACCTCCACCAGTGACACCCCCGTGCAGTCTGCAAGCCCTGTCCTTTGTTAGGTGAGAGGCCAGCACCGACTGCTTCATACTGCTCAGCGTGTCAGAGCTGAAAGAACCTCCAAGATCAGAGAATCTAGTTCCTCCCTTCTAACAGATGGGGCAACCCAGGCCCTAAGAGGCAGTATAAATTGTCTGAAGCACCAAAGGAACTCAGAAAAAGAGCTAAAATTGAAGCCCAGGGCTCTGGTGCCCGCTTTGGATCACTCCAAACCCAGCTTCCAGAAATGTATCTTGAGCCATCTATGCTTCGGAGTTGAAACAAACACAACCCAGGGACACCTGCAGGTTGAACCTGCATCCTGACGACTCCAAGCTGCAGAACACAATTCATGGGCAGCTACCCCTGCTGGAGGGTGCTATCGCACTGTGCCCAGCAGGCGTGTTGCCCCTGTGATCTCCATTCCAGAGGCCCGGGCCCAGGCCAGAGACGCACTTAGCCTGGGCAAGGCCAAGGTGGTGCTGGGCCGAGTCTGCCCAACTGGAAAGTCCACGCAGCTAGCTACTTACTCCACTGGCTGGGAAGCACAGGCGGAGCTCCTTACGGGGGTGGGGGGCCTGGCGGTAACTCCCTGGCCTCCTTCCCTCTGCTACACTACACAGCAGCGTCTAGCCTTGTAGAGGGCCAGACGGGCCACGGCCGGCCTCTGGCCAGCACCTGCCGGCCTCCTCTCCCCTGCGAGGTGCTGGACGCCCCATGGTGCTGCCCGGCGCGGGCCACCCCCAGCCTCGGCGTCCGGGATGCAGTGGCGGGGGGTTTACCAGCCCCTTGCGGTCGCCTGTCTGGGCTGGGGACCCCGGCGCCCGTGGCGCGCACACACGGGGTGCCTGCCCCTCCGGCAGCTCTCGCGGCGGGGCTGTGCAGGGCCCTGGCCAGGCCTCTGCCACTTGGGCGCCCAGGCCGGGGAGCGAGCTGACCGGCGGGACGGGGCGCGAAGGACAGACCTGGACCCCGCAGGCGGACTCTCGGCGCCCTGGGGCGGCCCAGCCGGCCCTACGAGGATGGTGGCACAGGTGGGCATGCCTCAGGCGGGGCGCTCCGGCAGGGGCGGGCTTATCCGGATCCGGCCGCGGGCGCACGGGACCCGGGCCGACCCCTCCCTGGGCCCCGACTTCCCGGCTCCCCCGCACCCCGCCGGCCGCCAGGCGGGGACC